TGGAAATGTTTTCTCTTTTGATTATGTTATAAAAGAAATGGTAAACGTTGCAGCTCAGTTCAGTTCAGTTCAGTTTTATTTAGCCAAAATAAATTAAAATACAAGAATACATATAAGAATTGTAAGTTGGCAAGGGAGCCTAGAAGAAACCAGAAGGCTTATGAAGCCTGGGCTTCCCAGTCAAAAAAGAAATAAGAAAAAGTGAAAATTCGCGGACAGTAATGCATTAAAAATACATGTAGTAACGAAAAACTAAACAAAGACTAATTTAAGTTAAGAATTCAATAACAGGAAAGAAGAAAGTTTTAAACTCTGGATTGGTACGAGTATAAGAAGGGACATCACAAATGAAAGCATTCAGCTTATTAAACAAAACAGGACCTTGATAAAAAACAGAAAACTTTCTTATGTTGGTACGGCAGAAATGAATATAAATTTATTTGAACTACGAGTGTTATAACCATGAACTTGATTAGTACGTAAAATGATCTGGAAAAACTGGAAGGAACTGAGTTATTTTTTACAGAAAACATAAATTTCCCGAGATGAAGAGAATAGATGTCTTCTAACTTAAGGATCATAGGACTCTTAAATAATGGATTAGTGTGAGCGTCGAAGCCCTTCTTGCTGATAATTCTAGCAATGCGCTTTTTCAACAAGACTAGGTGCCTAGGGTGGGTATAGGGTATGTTGAAGCCCACACTAAAATGCAATATGGAAGATAAGAATAAACACGTGAATAGTATAAAGCACACAAAGCCTTCCTAGTAAGGCAAACACTAGATTATAACATAGCAAACGTAAATCGCGTGCTGTGATCGGTCAGTTAGCCACTACCATTTGCCCGTGGGTGCACGCCAAGAAACTGAGCTAGCGCGGTAAAATTTAGGCAAATTCAACAAATCTCCTCTCCTGACGGTAAAATACACCGATGAAATGCACAGATGAAAAAATTGTGTTATTGACTTTTTGGTCAAGCTGATGCTAAATTCAAGCAAATATTTTAGGAAACACGCTCAAATTCGAGACAGCTTTGTTGTGAAGTTTTCATCTCATCGATCAAAAATTTTAGTGGAGTTCAAAAGGGCACATTACGCTGGCATAAGCGAATTTCATTTGAGTACAGAAACATTTGGGTTTTCAAATAAATTTTTCAAAAAATAACTTCTGTGTGTATTTTTTTGTTCCTCAGTGTTCATTCATAACAGTCGTGCAGAGAACGGTCGAAAAACAACAGCTTCAGCACGGGCTGTGTGTCGGCGAATTTCAGTTGCAACTTTGACTTTAATAGCTGGATTTCCCCAGACAGATCTCGATACAAAGCTAGTTAATTTCTTTTTAAAATTAGTGTTACCTGTTATTCTAAAGGAATTACAGTCAAATTTTCTCGTTTCTACTTTACGTTTATTTCAAAAATTTTCACATAAATAAGCTTGATAATTATTTCATTTATTTAGTTTTAGCTTATTTTGTAGAGTCTTTTTAGTTGGTGTTTATAGTACTTGCAGCTAAAGTTTTCCCTCAAAGTTTTTTTACCCTAATATTAAGAGCAAGTAGACAGATGCCATTAAGAAAAACAACGAAAAACGTTTTGCAATTTACCTGAAGACGGAGAACGGTTAATTCAGCGAAAGAAAAACTCAAAGGCAAGTTTTTGAAAAACATAGAACATGATTTGTTTACGCGCGGGCAGATGGCAGCATACATGAACTTGGACCGATGACTCAACCGAAGGCAAATGGAAAATAATGTTTTTCTCTTTTGATTATGTTATAAAAGAAATGGTAAACGTTGCATCTGTGCAACCATGGAGTTATGGATGTACTTGGAAGGTTTGCTAAGCACTCAAGAAGCTAGAGTCGCACTCGGCTATCACCTCGTGCGACTCTTACGCTTCTTTCGTGCTTAGCAACCTCTCGCATGCATCCATAACCCGGGATCCATAACACCATGGTTGCACGCTGCACGTTTACCATTTCTTAATTTACGAATAACGCCCACAGACTTGGAGAGTTTGCTCGCAGCCTGAGAAATATGGGGTTTCCATGACAGTGTCTCATCTAGAATAACACCAAAAAAATTATCTTTGGTAACTTGGTTCATCTTAAAACCATCCTTCTAAATACTTAGGGTGAGTTCATCTCTTCTCTGTCTGGGTTTAAAAATTATGTAATTTGACTTTTGTATATTAAGAGATAGCTTGTTGGCTTTGAACCAATCAGATAACTTGAGCATTTCAGAATTAACCAAGTTCATTAAAGTAGTACAGTCAAAATGAGAAACGAATAAGTTGGTATCATCAGCAAATAAAACCAGTATATATTTGAAATCTGACACAAATCATTGATATAAATTAAGAACTAGAATAAGGGACCGAGGGCAGACCACAGGAAATTTCATGAAATGAAGACGATATGCCGTTAAATTCTACGTATTGATACCTATTATAAAGGTAGCATTTAATCCACTCTAGGGCCAGACCACGAATCCCAAAGTGCTTGAGCTTATCGAGTAGAATACGATGATTAACAGCATCAAAAGCTTTAGATAAATCAAGAAAAATTCCTACTGTATGTTTCCTCTCATCAATAGCCGAAGTGATCTTGTCATGCAGGTGTAATAAGGCTAACGAAGTTGAACGTTTCTTTCTAAAACCATATTGATTATTGCATAAAATCTCATACTTATCAAAAAAGCGAATTAAGCGATTATACACAGCCTTGTCTAGAAACTTAGAAAAGACTGGTAAGACTGATACAGGTCTATAATTAGAAAGTAAACGTTTATCACCAGACTTATATAGAGGAACCACACGAGCCAATTTCATTCGAGCAAGGACAATACCTGAGTTAATTGATAGATTCAAAACGTATCTCAAAAGCTCAGAAATATAGTAAATAGACTCTTAAACAGACCAGATAGGTATCTCATCATGGCCAGCCGCAGTATTAAGACGGAGAGAATTAACCATTTCAACAATTTCAGATTCCGTAGTAGATTCAAGGAAGAAAAAATTATGTAAGCGATCCGGCTCTGCAACCATTGATTTATGGATGAACTTGGAAGGTTTGCTAAGCACTCAAGAAGCTAGAGTTAACTCGTACGCTTCTTTGGCGCTTAGCAACCTCCCGCGTACATTCATAACTCGATGGTTGTACACTACAACACGTTTACCATTTCTTAATTCTCTTCGACGAAATGATGATTTGCTTCTTAAGCCATTGTATGCTAAGACATCGAAAACACTGGGTGACACGTCCTTTTCAGTGATGGCGCCATCATTCTTCAACGCCCTTCCTCGACACATTCGACATGAGAAGAATTTTTTGCCCATTTAAAACCTAGGTAAAGACTTACTTGTTTAATAAGCCTATGGCTTTAACATAGTTTTTAGAATGTTTTAATATTTTGAGATCCTTTTAACATTTCTTTTATCATGTATATATCTACTTTTTTTATTAATTTCTTATTTTAAATTGTATATAACCATGTATTTATTTTATTTCATATTTCTTATATAATTATTGTAACGCGCATTTGATCATATACATACGCGAATTTGCACGTTATAAGTAGTAGCACTAGCAGCAGCAGTAGCAGTAGCAGTAGCAGTAGTAGCAGTAGTAGAAGTAGTAGTAATGGTAACAGGACTGAGTGAAGTCCAATTCGGTTTGTAATCATCCGAGTGTCAGTATATATATACGAATACGACAACAAACAGCTTGTTAGCAAGCACTAAAAAAGGAACATGCTTGGCTTCACTGACGTCACAGTCTATTATATTTGATTACTGCTTTCGAAACATCACACAGTCAGAGCGCCAGAATAAAGGAAGGGTCATTAAAACGGCCTTGATTGTTGAAGAAATTCCCTTTCGTCACAATAAGAAGTGGGTTGAGAACAGTGAGTAGAATATGCATGCTGATGTAAGGGGTTAAGGGCACAAGGACTATGAAGTTTCAGACTTACGGCAATTATTCTCCTCCTCATCCGAACTGTCCACGCAATCGGCTTCGCCGTCGCAACGTTTCGTAACATTAATGCATTTTACTCCATCACATCTCAGCTCGCCGTTAGCAAAAATGTCCAGCGCTGGCCACAAGATCCCTACTTTCCTTTTTCATCCTTAGTTCTACACTTTTCTGAGGTGTGGAAGTGTGAAATAACCCTACTTTCCTTTCTCATCCCAAGTTCCACACTTCTCAGATGAGTAGAAGTGTGGAATAGTCTAACAAAGTCAGGATAATGTCACCCTTTTCCCCTGGTCACGAAACCTCTGTCACACTGTGGAAGTGTGGAAAAGTCCGACAAAGTTAGGATAATGTCACACTTTTCCCCTGGTCACAAAACCCCTTGTCATTCTTTACTTAGTTCCACACTTCCTAGAGGTGTGGAAGTGTGGAAAAGTCTGACAAAGTAAGGATAATGTCACACTTTTCTCCTGGTCAGAAAACCTCTGTCATTCTTTACTTAGTTCCACACTTCCCAGAGGTGAGGAAGTGTAGAAAAGTCTGACAAAGTAAGGATAATGTCACCATTTTCCCCTGGTCACGAACCCTTTGTCATTCTTTACTTAGTTCTACACTTCTTAGAAGTGTGGAAAAGTGGAATAGTCTGAAAAAGTAAGGATAATGTCACACTTTCCCCCTGGTCACGAAACCTCTGTCATTCTTTACTTAGTTCCACACTTCTCAGAGGTGTGGAAATGTGGAATAGTCTGACAAAGTGAGGATATTGTCGCACTTTCCCCCCAGTCATGAATCGCTTCTCATTCTTTACTTAGTTTCACACTTTTTAGAGGTGTGGAAGTGTGGAAAAGTCTGACAAAGTAAGGATAATGTCACACTTTTCCCCTGGTCACGAAACCTCTGCCATTCTTTACTTAGTTCTACACTTCTCAGAGGTGTGGAAGTAAAATCCTGAGAATAAAATGAAAATGGAAAGCAGAGGTAAAGAATATCTCGTAAAAACCTCATCTAACTATCCGTCATGTTTAAAAATCAAGCAAAAGTATCCTTACATTGTACAGTTAATGTGGAAGAGTTGGATTGAACTTTGTTGACATCATTCGTAGCCATACAGATGTATTCTCCGCTGTCTTCTCTGTCCACATTCGTTATAGTTAACTGCTTTTTATCTGCGTTAAAAGTGATTCTTGAAGTCGTATTCACAACAGAACCGTCTTTCGTCCATGAGAATGTGGGTGTAGGATTTCCATCTGCATCACAGGTAAAAGTCACACTCTCCCCTTCTGTCTTTGTCTCATTTCGTGGATGGGTAAGGAACTCAGGCTGATCTGTAATTAGAAGGCAATGCGATTAAAGTGTATGTAGCCAGCATTCGTTTGTACTTCAACTAAGCATGTATGGAATGCACAGAACGCACTTTGATCACGCACGTTTGTACCTTTTATCGCTCGTAATCTGATCACGCGTGTTTTGACTATCTCTCACGTGAAACTTTCGCAAAGCACAGCGCTGGAGCAAAAAAGTTTTGACCTTGGAGCGTTGTCGCCCGCACTCAGTAACCTTTCGTTATTACTAGTCTAATATGTAAAGAAAATCCTGTTATGCACAATCCCCGAGTTGGAATGGTCTTAAGGTGATGTTATGCGAGACCAATCGCAAAGACGATTTTGAGTGCATCAGAGCGTAGCAATGTTGGAACAATATTGCAACCATTTGACACAATGTCGCGACAATGTCGTAATGTTGGGTTGCGAGTTTCCTCCAGCTTGGTTTAAAAAATACAACGGTTTTGTATGAACGCCACGCCCCTTGCTGCTGGCTGCTTTGCTGTTTTCTTCTCCGGTTTGCGATGTGATCCTGGTGATCAGTTCAGTTCAGTTCAGTTTATTGTTTTGCCATAATGATGTACCAAGAAACAAGAAATCTAAGTGTTTAAAAAGCTAATGGCGAGGAAGTCCAAGGGAAGCCACTGGGCTTAAACGGAATGGGGTCCTTTAGTAACATTTTGTAAAATCATCATTAGCAAAATATTAACAGAATTATACCTGCAAAGGTCTATGACAGAGCTACAGTAAATCTTTAGCAATCATTGAATGAGGCTGAGTAGGATATGAAGAATTCTGCAGATCGAGGAGGGTGTTATCCACTGAGGCCGAAGGACGAGGTGGATCAGTACACCCTCCGAGATGTGCAAAATTCTTCATATTCAACGAAAGGCGAATTTAATAATTTTTTTACTGTTCCTTCAAAATAATTCCAAGTTTAAAAACAAGCTAAAACATGGTAACCTCGGTCGATGTAAGTTCATATCGATAATGCATCTTTATCGGGAAGTTTAGAAGATTAAGGTCTGCTCAGGTCAGCAAATATACTTCAAATAGCAGATGTTGTCCGTCTAGTTGTCTTCTTGCTGTTGTTGCGATGTTTTTAGACAATATTTCGTCGTGAAACGAGCCGCCATTTTGTTTTAACTACCAAAACCACTTAGCCTCGTCCCCAGGTTTTATCGGTCAACGGTATAATAACCTGCAATCAGGTTGCACTTTTGACGCCATTTTGACTTCATCAATATGACAAAATTCTTTCCAAATTTGATCAACAGCAGCTGGTTATGGTGAATTATGCGTGTGGTTTTAACCAATCAAAAACGGGAATATATTTTGAAGGAATAATAATAAAATATGTTAGATGATCGTATTAATAATAGTTAGGCTAAAAAAAGCGAAAAGAAAAAAAAACACCTTAGAAAAAAAAATGCAAATGAAAAGCAGAGGTAAAGAATATCTCGTAAAAACCTCATCTAACTATCCATCATGTTTAAAAATCAAGCAAAAGTATCCTTACATTGTACAGTTAATGTGGAAGAGTTGGATTGAACTTTGTTGACATCATTCGTAGCCACACAGATGTATTCTCCGCTGTGTTCTCTGTTCACATTCGTTATAGTTAACTGCTTTTTATCTGCGTTAAAAGTGATTCTTGAAGTCGTATTCACAACAGAACCGTCTCTCGTCCATGAGAATGTGGGTGTAGGATTTCCATCTGCATCACAGGTAAAAGTCACATTCTCCCCTTCTGTCTTTGTCTCATTTCGTGGATGGGTAAGGAACTCAGGCTGATCTGTAATTAGAAGGCAATGCGATTAAAGTAGAAAATAAGGGAAAATACCAAACGCTGAATGAATCTTTAATAGTCTTTTTTATGNTTAATGTGGAAGAGTTGGATTGAACTTTGTTGACATCATTCGTAGCCACACAGATGTATTCTCCGCTGTGTTCTCTGTTCACATTCGTTATAGTTAACTGCTTTTTATCTGCGTTAAAAGTGATTCTTGAAGTCGTATTCACAACAGAACCGTCTCTCGTCCATGAGAATGTGGGTGTAGGATTTCCATCTGCATCACAGGTAAAAGTCACATTCTCCCCTTCTGTCTTTGTCTCATTTCGTGGATGGGTAAGGAACTCAGGCTGATCTGTAATTAGAAGGCAATGCGATTAAAGTAGAAAATAAGGGAAAATACCAAACGCTGAATGAATCTTTAATAGTCTTTTTTATGGCTGTTGTGCGCTTCATGGCGCAGATTACTTGAACTTGTTATTACCCATGCGTCGCATGTATGGGGCCAGCATTCGTTTGGATTTCCACTAAGAATGTATGGAATGCAAAGAACGCACTTGGATCACGCGCGCTTGTACCTTTTATCACTCGTAATCAGATCACGCGTGTTTTGACCATTCCTCACGTGAAAATTATGCAAAGCACAGCGCTGGAGCAAAAAGGGTTTTGACCTTCGATTGTTGTCGCCCGCACTCCGTAACCTTTGGTTATTACTAGTCTGATATGTAAAGAAAATCCTGTTATGCAAAATCCCTCAGATGGAATGGTCTAAAGGTGATGTTACTCGAGACGACTCGCAACGACGATTTTGAGCGCACACAGCTTAGAAATGTTGGAACAATGTTGCAACCATTCGAAACAATGTCGTAACAATGTTGTAATGCTGCGTTGCGGTTTTGATGAGAAACCTTTAATAAATGGGGAGGAAGCCCAAGGGAAGCCACTGGGCTTATAAGGAATGGGCTCCTTCTGTAAAATTTTTAAATCATTATTACAAAATATTAACAGAATTATACCTGCAAAAATTGATGACTGAGCTACAGTAAATCTTAAAATATATTAGATAATCGTATTAATCATAGTTAGGCTAAAAAAAGGGAAAGGAGAAAAACACCTGAGAATAAAATGAAAATGGAAAGCGAAGGTAAAGAATATCTCGTAAAAACCTCATCTAACTATCTATCATGTTTAAAAATCAAGCAAAAGTATCCTTACATTGTACATTTAATATGGAAGAGTTGGATTGAACTTTGTTAACATCATTCGTAGCCACACAGATGTATTCTCCGCTGTCTTCTCTGTCCACATTCGTTATAGTTAACTGCTTTTTATCTGCGTTAAAAGTGATTCTTGAAGTCGTATTCACAACAGAACCGTCTCTCGTCCATGAGAATGTGGGTGTAGGATTTCCATCTGCATCACAGGTAAAAGTCACATTCTCTCCTTCTGTCTTTGTCTGATTTCGTGGGTGGGTAAGGAACTCAGGCTGATCTGTAATTAGAAGACAATGCGATTAAAGTAGAAAATAATGGAAAATACCAAACGCTGAATGAATCTTAAATAGTCTTATGTTGACTTTAGTTCGTCTCATGGCGCAGATTACGTGAGCTCTTAGGATGTCACTGTAGTGAGTAAAAAGCATCCATACTCTGTGGAGTTAGTAAGTCTTAAAACACTTGATAGCAGAGAATGACGATTAATTATTTGTCGCTGAGCAATCTGTGTAACCGGCGCGCGGAAGGGAAAGAAAGGGGCTCGTTTTTCAGGCTTTAGGTATACGAANGTTATAGTTAACTGCTTTTTATCTGCGTTAAAAGTGATTCTTGAAGTCGTATTCACAACAGAACCGTCTCTCGTCCATGAGAATGTGGGTGTAGGATTTCCATCTGCATCACAGGTAAAAGTCACATTCTCTCCTTCTGTCTTTGTCTGATTTCGTGGGTGGGTAAGGAACTCAGGCTGATCTGTAATTAGAAGACAATGCGATTAAAGTAGAAAATAATGGAAAATACCAAACGCTGAATGAATCTTAAATAGTCTTATGTTGACTTTAGTTCGTCTCATGGCGCAGATTACGTGAGCTCTTAGGATGTCACTGTAGTGAGTAAAAAGCATCCATACTCTGTGGAGTTAGTAAGTCTTAAAACACTTGATAGCAGAGAATGACGATTAATTATTTGTCGCTGAGCAATCTGTGTAACCGGCGCGCGGAAGGGAAAGAAAGGGGCTCGTTTTTCAGGCTTTAGGTATACGAAAGTGTGAGGATTTCATCATTCAAAGTAAATGAAAGATTTGGGAAATCTGTCTTTGCGTTCCAAGAAAGGACCTGAAAGGGCGAATTTTAAGGCTTGAAAGACAAGGAAACTTTCTGGTTTAGGGAATTATTCATCTTTTAATAGGACCTCGTGTTGCTTTGTTTGCTTCTTTCATAGGATATACTGTATATGTAACAACATAGTTAACCACACTAAGGTACCAGAATTTTAAACAACATTAAATGTAAAAAGATGTAAACCATGTATTTTATTAAAATTGCATATTATAAAGGACACAACAGGTTTAAGAGTATTCTTAGCAATAATTAGGTAATAATTATAATAAGTAATCTTACATTTTACATTTAGTGTAGCAGAATTGGACTGAACTGTCGTCACATTGTTAGTTGCCTCACAAACATATTGCCCACTGTTTTCTCTGGTCACATTCGTTATGATTGACGGCAGCGATAAACACAATTGTGAAGGTAGCTTTTGAACTTTAGAGGTTCGCATGTTTGTAAAAAGCGCAGTAAAGTCTCAGTGCAGTCAGTGAGGCCCCTGGATCAGGCGGGATCAATGGGCAGTTAACTGTCAGTTTAGTATACTTCTGGTTTTCATACAGTACAATAGGGCCATTTATACGAGGAAAAATAAGACGTGTCTTACATAAGACGCGTCTTACATAAGACGCGTCTTAAATAAGACGCGAACTTTCCGTATAAACGGCACATTTCGCCTAAAATAATACGCGGCTTAGCTAAGACGCGTCTTATTAGATAAGGCATGCTCGTATAAATGGTACAGTTCGCGCCTTATTTAAGACGCGCCTTCTTTTTCCTCGTATAAATGGCCCTATTATTTCTGTCTAGTGTAAATAAGCTCAGTCTGTCGCATTTTATGCTCGTAGAACGACAAAATTTTTGGAATTTCCGGTTACGTCAAATTAGTCAAAGTTATACTGTCACGCTATAGTTTGGGGCACAGAAGGATTGGGGGAGGGGTGCGTGGAAATAATGCAAATTGATTCCTGCTTAGAATTACTGGCTAACTTGTTTATTTTTTTTCATAATGGTGGAATTTAAAAGTTATTATACAGCCCCCACTAAAAAATGGTACTCTTTTTTTTGGTTACGAAAGTCTTTTAAAAGGGTACAATGTTCTGAATGAGTTTATGTTTCAGTCTCACATGAGATTCTGTCGCATGCAATGGTCGTCGACAAGGTTTTATGGTAGCCTGAGTGTGTATAGCCGCCCCCTCCCCTCAGAAAAAATAGCCCCTTTGCAGTCGGTGTTACCGTCGCAAAGCTTCGTCACACTGATGCATTTTCCTCCATCACATCTCACTTCGCCTTTGGGGCATTTTACTGTTTAGGAGTCAAATTGCAAAGTGATAGTCAACATTCCGGTCTGAGAATCTTACCAAAAATAAAATTTTACTGCGGGTGAGAAGAGGAGCCCGCAATCCTTATCTCCAAGTTGCCATTACGAATGCGCGGCAAATACGCAGCCAGCGTTCCTTTGGACTTTCACTAAGAACAAATGGAAAGCATAGAACGCAATACAATCAAGCGGGTTTGGACTGTCTGTCACTCATAATTCAATTACGCGCGTTTTGACTTTCTATCGCGTGAAATCGACGAAACGCAGAGTAGAAGCAAGAGCGATGGATCTCGCCTGTACTCCCTACCTTCTGGTTTTTACTAGTTTTTTGATATATTTTACTTCTTTTAAAAAGCTACTGTCGACGTCATAATAGTATGTTAGATGAATAACACACGCAACATAATTCGTGGGAGCCATTTTAGGCGAGTTACAGCATAACGCACCAGTTAAACCAAACCATATTAACTAAGCGAACACAAGGGTAAAAAATTCCCACAAAATACATTCGGTACGACGAAATTGCAATAAAGCGAACACCACTACTACGAAAATAGCGGGGATCCCGCAGGATTCTGCAAAATACAGTAGATTAAGGGTACTCCCACAAATAAATCATCCCATGTAGAGAATCTTAGGAAAGGGACTTACTGCAGTTTTGTTCGTCGGAACCATCATTGCAGTCCTCGCTGTCATCACAGATCCAGCCTTGAGGGATGCATTGTCCGTTGGAGCAAGTAAATTGCTCAGGTCTGCACGTCTTCGGAGCTGTTAAAGAATAATTTTCTTGATAAATTTCATACATTTTGGCAGCAACTTTTCATTGTCTTAAAAGGCAGTTGCTAAATCATTGAAATATACATGTACACTGCTCACTTAGTTACAAACAGTAAAATTAATAGTGCTCCTTTCTTTATTGTAAATCATTTCACTTTTTTAATTTTGTCACTCATAGTAGTGATAAGACAACTAACCTCTGCAAGTAGAATTTTTTTCAGCAAGAATCATATCCATGGGACAAGAACACTGAGCATGTCCATGCACACCAACAGAGCAGATATGAGAACAAGGCTTCATGAAACAAGGGCGGTGAACTACAAAAACCAAACGGAACAACCATTACACCGTTCATCGCGACCACCAAAAACTTGGCTCCAGTTCATATACGAAATAATGGTACTTAATTTTATCATTTGCAAACCCGATCTGGAAAGCTTGAACAAGCGAAACGAACTTGCAACTTCCTGCAGGCACGCACGCAAATTCCTTTACATCCCGTTATCACGCAATAGTTTTTTTATTCAAATTCTGGGCGCGCGTTTGTAGTTGTAGCGTATGTTGTAACGAACTTTTTGTTGGCAATTTTATCCGAGGAGTGCCGCACACGCCGTGGGGTACGAAACTAAATAGTAATAAATATGCCAGGTCAAATCCCACGTTGACACCAGACAACCTTGATTTAATTTACCCTCTATAACTTAACTATGCTTTAATGCCTGACAAGTCGAAAAAAGTGTACTGCAGTCCGAAACAATGAAATTATTTTAACAAACATGTAGTCTTTGTCTTTAGTCAGTCCAGTTTAAATACAGTGTCCAGCACTGCCTGTCAATCAAGTTTTGAACTGTGTATGTTACTTGCATTCATTCCCCATTTTCTTATTTCCGGTTATTTGCTTCGAACTCCCGCTAACTCGAACCTCTTTCGATTTCCCTTGAAGTTTCGAGTTATCGGGCGTTGATTGTAACAAGGAAACTTCCCCCACATGTCCCCATTTCGTCACGCAACGCTTAGTGGGGAGGAGCGTTGCGTGACGACACTAAAAACGGCTGTGTAGCAGACTAACGCGAGTGAGGTCTTTTTTCATTTTAAAGCACCTTGACGCCACCAAACTTTTGTTTCTAAGTGTCTTTACCATTATAAAGACAATTTGTCCAAAAATTTGGCCAAATGACCTACCAAAGATGAAAAAAGACCGCTAGCTTCCGGTTGACGTGCGTCGCTCAAAAACGTCTTTGCTTATAGGAGCTGTGTCACGAAATTCAGCCAAATTAGGAAATTACAAAACGCCCGTTAAATTAAGAGAAACATAAAAATAACCGCTTAAAACGTTAAAGGAAGGTTAAAATAACATAACAGAAACAACAGATGTCACGGATGGGCAAAACTGAAGAAGATTGAAACGGATTGAAATTAGGACCTTTGAAAACTGTTCAGCCTAGCAGTTTTCAAAGATGATCCCTGCTACTTGCAACTTCAAGAATAATGCTCAGGAGACATACATGTTTGTCTCGCGTCTCTGATTTTGTCATTTACATGTAATTTCTTTGCTTACTTTCAATTCCATAGCGATTGAGGGAGAGTAATTGGCAAAATTAAACAAAATGAACTGGACTGCCGTGACACAGCCCCTCATAACGTGAATTTCCGGTCGTTTAACCTTAACACCGCACTCAAGCCAAATGTTGACGTATTTTCCTATAGTTTGTTTGTAGGTGCTGCAACAAAGTCCGCAAAGGGAAAGGAATACTTCGCATCGTCTGATTAATCCCCCCATACCTACATCGCATTGCATGTATAAATCTAACGGCCCAGTTGTACAGAGGGCGGGAAAAATGCACCAAACGAAGTGATCCGAGCAAAGAGGTTGTTTGGCATATTAAACCTAAGTTTTTCTTTACGCCGTCGTTGTCGTCGTCCTGTACGCCGTATAAGCCCTCAAAGCCACCCTACATACTGACCAGCAAATACTACAATACAATCCTTATTTATAACCACTTGAATTATAAAAAATCGCCATAAAGAAGAAGTGTAAAATGAAAGAACTTTCACACCTGATGTTTTCAGTGTATCAACGACAATCATGTCAGATAAATCATCAATAGCTGCTTGCACTGTTCGGCCACGACGGTCATCCTCCCTGATTTTCATGACATTGCGGGACTCACGATCTATCCAGTACACATAACTTCCATGGACTGCTAAGCCAACAGGCTGTAACACATTCGTCTCAATCAGTGTGGCCCGGTTCATTCCTGTAAGGTATTTTATTCGACTGTGAGCTACATGTGTTAATTACTGAAGACACAATTCAAGTACTAGTATAGTTCTTTAACTGTAACTCTTGTTGTTGGCGTTCACTTTAAACTCGCGTAAAGTTCTCATCGACATCAAGAGAAGAGGGCTGGAAATAAGAAGAAGAGGTTGCAGTTCCCTAAGCCCTTATTTTAATCACGATCTACTTTCATGTATTACGTTAAGAAAATGGTCGCCAAAAAATGACCTTGTCAACATGTTAATTTTTTTTTCGCAATTGAACGCAGACTACGTTGATAAAGGAGACGAAGGGGAAAACCTCTTTTAAAGAGCACTAGCAACAGAAAATTGGCCTTTTGAAAAGAAGAAAACCACTTCTGAAATATTTAAAATAAACGTGCATTTTTCTTCTTGCTTCGCTTTTGACCACAACAAGAAATTTCACACGTTTCTGTACGAAAACGTTTTATTCTTGCCAACCAATGGATACTTAGTTTATTGTCACTGGTTCTAATCTAAGCTTTAACTGACTAATTTGTTTTTGTTTGTTTGTTTTGACAAAATATGCAACATACACAAGAGTGGCAATCATATAATGCATTTAATGGCGAACCCGTACCTGTGAGATCGGCGTACTCAATCCTTTTCATAGTAGTGTCTGTCCAGTAAAGTCTGTTTCTCGCCTTGTCCACTGCTAAATCCCCTGGGGATGCCGCGCTGAGGAGTGTCTTGTCCACACCAGCCATTGTTGCACGCACGATGGATTTCTTCTCCGGTTTTTCATTGGTAAAGAACATTTGTCTGAAAAGGGTTACAACTGATTAGAATAACGCTTTTAGAGGTTTACGTGGAAGGAAATAGCGATTGCAGAATACCCGGCTCTCTAAATGTCTTACTTGAAAAACTACTTCCGCAGTCCGGCAGTCGTGTTGTATTATGCCGAAGTAAAACGAGTGTTCCCGCAGTCCCGCAGTCGATATCAGAAATTATTATACAAATCGAACGACTATGGGACCGCGGGAGCTGCTTTTTTTAAGTTAGATATTTAGTAGGCCGGGTATTCTGCAATCTAACCAAAGAGATTCCATCTACAAAGAGGCTAAACCTTACTTGCATCAGGGGCACCCAACGTCAATTTCAATATCTGTCAACGTCAATATCTGTTCGGAAGACGATTTGAGATCTAGAATTTTCGGAACATTATTTTGTCGTAAAGTTTCTTGCTTGCCTGCCTCTCCTAGGATTTTCGAAATCTAAAAAATGGTATAATTGCCCATTTTTAACGGATTTTTACCCTAAAAAGGTCACCTAGAATTTTCGGGAGCCTTTTTTTTGGCTGAAATTTTCGAAAAGGTAAGTTTTGATCCCTATAATTTTCGGATCACTAGACTTTCAGCTAGGAAATCCGAACAGATGAAAAATTTTGGGGGATAAAAATATGCCTATATCTACCGTTTAAATACTAAAATACGTTTAACAATACCATGTTTATGTGGTTTTGAACTATATTCTCGTTGGGTGACCCTGTTTGCATAAGCGACCACAAAAGGTTTGAGATCTTTGGGAATGCCAACAACACAGCTCGTATATGTATAACATTATTTAGTGCATGTTACATGAAATCCTTATAGTCCCACCAACGGCACTCCCTTTCACTCTTTAGCCCTAAGAGCGATCAGCATCAAATTTATCCATGTAATATCAATGCTTTGTAAAACAAAGTGGTCATGAGAATTACATTTGCTTGATATTTTATCAACTTCTCCCCACTTCTTCTGTAGGAAATGAATAGGGGCAACAAATGAGAATTCAAATTTTGATCTTGGGGTTTAAAGGGTTAAGGGCTTTAACCATTAAGACAATACAGTTTCCACATATTTACGACCCAAACCCCACCGTGCGTTGAAAATTTCTACCAAGTTGCCCAGTTTTTCACCCGCTAAAATGTTACAAAAAAATGGATAAGAGATTCACAAGCAATAATAAGTCTGAAAATTTAAAATACAAAGGAACTGTCCCAGACGAAAGTCCTTCTTACATTACGTCCCCCCGTTGTTACTACCATATTCTACAGGCGCGGACGTTTCTGAGAGGAAACTACCTTTTTATGGCCCTAAGATGGACACGATGACGCGGTATCACTGTGCTAGTCAACCATCAAACACAAGGCTATTCCCCCCAGGTTGAGGACCAATGGCATTCTTCAGGGGTGCGTTGTAAAAATTGAGGATTTCTTCAGGAGTAAAGTAAAAATACACGGAATTCTTTGAAGGCGAAGCTATAATTTCCCCAAAAATCATCAGGGGGTAGACCAATATTCTTCATGGGTAGGACCGCCGACCCGTATATTTTGGAAGTCTTCAAGGGTGAATACAATTCTATTTTTAAAAAAAACTTTAATCTTTAGGGTAGACTACGAGTAGTCCCCAGTTTTCCTCAGGGATACGGTACGGATATTAAATGCCATAGCCCATTGCTGAGGGGGTTACTAATCACTGAAAATAAAATAAATCAAACAGAATTAAAAAGAATTCACTCACCCCATCTCTGGATAAAGCACAATAGATCGTGGATGAACATCTCTCTCATGAAAGACAACACCCATAGACACCCCTTTTCTTAAGCTATAAACGTTAATGCTGTTTTTCACACTGTCTGTCCAATACAGCTGTTGTCCGTATGAGTCAATAGCCAGATCGTAAGGCGAGGAATCTTCTCCAAGGGCTATCGTCTTAGCATTGCTACCATTTTGAAAAGAGCGTCTTATTTCTTTTACTGCACTGTCAATCCAGTAGATGAGGTGACTATTGACATCATAATCAATGGCACGAACATCCGTCAGACCACGCACAGGTAAAACGACTTCTAGGTTGTCTGATGAGTTGAATAGGATTCTCCGAATGTCAGTTGTGGTGCTGAAGAGCATGAATACTCGAGGAGCTGTAAAAAAATACAAGAAGGATTGTAAGAGTTTGATCCTGCCATCACAGGGATAACAGTGACGTTCATTACATTTCTACATGCAGTAGTTTGAAAAATTGGGATGAAAAAAATTTACAGATATCGTACAGTATGTTGCCCAGTATCCGGACGGTACCAGTATCCGGACACTTAAAACAAAAAAATCAATTTTTGAGGCGCCCTTTTCAGTTATCGGTAAACGAAGTATTTCGAATGAAAGCTGAACGTTTCAGCTTTAAGATGAAGGTTTTGGCGAATTGAAAGCTTGCGAAACAGTCGCAGAAGACGCCTTTCTGTTCAGCTGCATAAACTTTTCATGCCTAATATTTACGCTATTTACTGCGCAGTAAAATTAGTGCTGCTCAAAAAAGGGTAGGGTAATATGTGATATTTTCAAAGAAACGGTTTTATAATAAATTGAAGATACTTAAAGAAGTCAGGTTCTCAGAAAGTTTATTAATTCTTCTTGAAATTCGATTTGTTTGGAATAACGGAGCCCAGAGACGTCCACTAACAGTTTTTTCTTTGCAGTACAGAATCGATGAATTAGCTGTGTACATTATCCGGATAAGATTTATTTCATATCTATAACTATAACTAAAGCTTAGGATATATGATATAGTCGTAAAATGTAATTCTACCCAACTCCGTACGGAAATTTTCTTCACTCATTCGGAAGCGACTTGATTTCGTGTGCGCCGCTTGTTTCGCGTGACTGCATTTTCTATATATAAGCGAAAGCATCGGAGTTGAACCTGGAATTCTCATAATTTCCCCAGTTGTGACTGCTAGAAAGGGGTTGCAACGGTCTGAAAAATGTCACAAAGGGATCAAGAGATGTAAAAAGAAGGAGGAATTAGTGCTAGAAAAGCAGGCTTATTGTAGGGTCTGTAGGGACTGTGCATGAAGAAATCAACACTGCAGGTCAGACTAAATAGGAGAGTGATCTTTGACCGTCGCATTGAGGTCCCTTCCCCAAGCTTTTCTTTTTTTCTTAATAAAAAATTTAGAATAAAGGTCGTTTGCAGATTGGCTAATTGAGCTAGCAAACCTCGGCTTCGGCGTGTCCAAGGATGCCTTCCTTAAATCAGTGAAAAAGTTCCTAGACAAATGTTAGACAAGGAAGTACGAATTATACCATCTAACAGCCGCTCGCGTTCCCCACCATACCCCAGTCATTTGTTAGGTTTTTTTTCACGATGCTAGGTTATATTTTTGGTATGGATTGCCAGATTACTTTGCAACTGCAAGAGAAGCTTATAAGCGGCTTGCCTGTCGAAATTTATGTACAATTACGTTGTTATTGTTGTGTCCGGATACTGGGCCAGCTGTACGGATACTGGGCAACATAGGAGCTCTGCAAAAATATTAATTTCGCGATGGAAACAAAAGCAAAAAAGTTAAACTGTCTTTCGTCACAGTAAGGACTAAATAGATTTTCTCTGGGCCAAATTTCAGAGCTCTTGTGTCTAACAAAGGTAAGCTATTTCAATGTTAAACTGAAGTCTCCGGATACTGGGCAACACACTGTAGTGAGGTGCAGGGAAGTCAGGTCAGTATTAATGTGAAAGGTCTTAACCCAGGAGTCATTTTTGTAAGTAAGAGGAGCATGATCGTCAGGTTTTGCATAGTCCTCAACAGGACTGTTGTTGACAGTAACAGACGTTTTGACAACCTACATGTATGCAATAGGCATCTTCAGAGTCAAAGTGAGTTGTATCATGTCAGTTGATGGTAATTAACTCTGGATATTGACCTGACGGGTCAATAAGGTCGCGCTGTTACGTGGTGTATTACGTTATTCCGGGGGCACAATATTAGTTGACCCTAGACGTGCCCCTGTCCTTTCCTTCTTCATTTTTCCTTCTTTTTGTGAAAAACTTATTCAAATGTACATGCTGTAATGATCTTGACTGTATTTTATTGCGTATTGTAAACTTTCTCTGACTCAAGCAATAATGATTGTCTTGTAATATTTATAAGGGAACGGAAAAACTAAATGAAATGAAATGAAATGATGTTATTGGTCGTCTCTCAGTTAAGCCGTGAGTTGGGCAGGAAGACAGTATCGGTTTGGAGAGTTGGACAACTCAGAGCTTTAGAAATAGGGATTCCCTTTACATGTAATTGTCAGTAACAAACTGTTTCACGTTAGAGAATACTAACCATTGCAAGTGTTATTGTCTGTTGACGACAGGGTGTAGTGAGTTGAGCAGGAACATACCATTCGTTTGCCTGGTTTAGCCAGGCAAAGGTGGCTGCATCCACCATTATGCCTGGCACAGGAATTCCCGGCTTGATAGTGGACATCCATATTATGGTCAATTGACAGCTGTCAAAAAAGGCTATCTGCTGTCACATGACTGTATTGTGGGCTGAAGTGTAAGACTCATTGAGGTGATACTCTTTTAAAGTTATCTGCTGATCAGTTAATGGTTGTTAATTGATGGCAGGCTCAGGTCCAAAATTCTCATTGTCAAAGAAACTGTGTCCTGTAATTTCAATCATATTACCAGGTTCATTTCAGTTCAGTGAACATGACCTTGAATGACCTCTCAATGCGTGGATGTTGAAAATTACTTGCGGTGTTTTTTATTGTATTCATTTCAAAAAATAGCGCTAAACAGGCCATATAGTAAATAACTTATTCACCCTGTCTGTTCGGTCATTAATAAGTAGTATATAATAATTACAGATAATTATTCAGACCACACATCACATTTTGACTCTCTTGGTAAAGAATTGGGCACCCAAATTTGAGAAGCGCTCCTCTCAAAATTCTGAA